CACCGTCCGGGTCTCCTCGCCTGGCAGCCGCCGCCGGGAGGGGCGTGGCCTGGAGGGGCGTGGCCTGTGCGGGTGTGCTTTGTAGGGGCGTGGTCTGTGTGGGCGTGGCCTGGAGGGGCGTGGCCTGGAGGGGCAGGGAGGGCAAGAGGAGTTCGGCCCTCACATGGGGCGGGGCCCCCTCGTTAGGGGGCCACCCAGCCCAGGACCCGTCACTGGGGGGGAAGGTGGGGACCGAGGGAGGACTGAAGTTTGGGGTGACGCAGACAGCGGGGGCCGAGGCTGGAGACTTGGTGTTCATTCCTTCCAGTTCCCCCTGCGAGAGAGAGGGGGGTGAGCGGTGGGAGGACCAGGCCCAGGAGCCTTGATTCTGGAGGGGGGTAAGGGGGGGCCGCACCAGCCACACCCCCCCTAATAAGAAGCAGTCTGGGGGGTCCCCAGGTTCCTCTCACCTCTTTCACGGGCACCGGTGTCCCACACACTGAAGCAAAGAAAAGGAAACCAAGTCACAAAGTGCACTTTTCCTTGGGGTCCCGTTGCCCTGGGGACTTGAACTCAGGGCCTGGGTGCTGTCAGGGCGGGCGCTCTACTGCTTGAGCCGCAGCGCCGCTTCTGCTTTTTATTTTTTTAGGGGGGAGAAGTAGAGCTGAGAGTCTCTCAGATGTTGGGTTCAAATCACAGTCCTCTCCATCTCAGCTTCCGGGAGTGGCGGGGATTACAGGCTTGAGCTACTGTAGGGGCTCAAAACTTCACTTCCTTCTCAGGAGGACCTAGCTCGCTGTCTGTCACTCTGTGACACCCCCAGGGACTAGAGAACGTTCCCACAGCCCCCCCCCCAGACACCTGTCCCAGAGCCCCCAGCCTGGAGCCCATCCCTTTCATCTCAAGACCCCCATGCGAGGCTCACCAATGGAGTGGAATTTGGATTTCCACCGCGGCCGACGACACAACAAAGCCAGGAAGAGGAAGCCCACCAGGCAAAGAGCCAGGAAGATGACGAGGGGCAGCAGCACGGTAGCCCCTGGGACAAGGCAGAGGATGCTGAGCAGGGTGAGGGGAGAGGGAGGAGGGGGAGGGAGGAAGGGAGCGTCATTTCCTCTCACCTGAGTCCTGATGGCTGCTCACAGTTTCCTGAGAGGGTGGCAGACACAACTTGGTGCATTCGTGGCGTTCTTTGCAGCTGGGAGAGACAGCACTGGTTAAGTAAGAGGCTCTCCCTGCTGCTGAATGGCATGGAAACCCCCGGCATAGAATTCCAGCCCGTGGCTCCCGCCTGTCATCGCAGCCACTCAGGAGCCTGAGATCTAAAGGATGGTGGTTCAAAGCCAGGCCGGGCACGAAAGTCCCTGAGACTCTGATCTCCAATAAAACCACCAGAAAACCGGAAGTGGCGCTGTGGCTCAAGTGGTAGAGCGCCAGCCTTGAGTGAAAGCAGCTCAGGCCCTGAGTTCGAGCCCCAATAGAATTTTCGAGGTCCACCCCCGGGCTCGTCTGGGGGGTGTCAGCCAGGCCTGCCGCACGCCCCCCGCACGGCAGCTGGAGATACTCACTGGCTGCAGGGCACGCACGCGCTCTTTCTTGGGAAGAAGCCCGCGTGGCAGCTGCACACGGTGTCCTGGCTCTCCTGACCTGCGGGGAGGGGAGGGCGCAGCTAAGGAGGGGGGCTCCCCGGAGCCCCAGGAGCAGCAGGGGCGGGGCGGGGCCGGGGGAGGCGCACTCACACGGGAAGAGCACGGTGCCGTTGAGGCAGAGGCTGCAGGCCCGGCACTCGAACGGCTTCGCGCCCAGGTAATGCCGGAACTGGTTCCTGCCGCAGCCACACACCGTGTCGCGGTCCACGGCGCAGGGAGAAAGCTCCACCTGGTTCAGCTCTGCGGGGGACAGAGGGCCGTGAGCCCCGCATGCCTCCCGATCCACGCCCCGCGCGCGTGTGGGTGTGTCTGCCTCGGTTACACACGTTCACAACCCTACACAGAGGAAGACGGCCCCCCCACCTAGCTGCGCATGCGCAAAAGATGCCCCCCACCTACCCGCGCATGCGCACAGACACGGTTCAGCCCTTCCAGCGCCTGCGCAGTTACTTCCCACACTTTAGGGCGCATGCGCACACTTCCCGCAACGACCGGGGTAGGTCCTACACCTACTAGCGCATGCGCACAGATGCGACCCATCCCTTCCAGCGCCTGCGCAGTTACTTCCCACACTTTAGGGCGCATGCGCACACTTCCCGCAACGACCGGGGTAGTGCCTACACCTACTAGCGCATGCGCACAGATACGGCCCATCCTTTCCAGCACATGCGCAGCTACTTCACACACCTATCAGTGCATGCGTACACTTCCCCCAACTACCAGGGTACGTGCACAGGATTTTCTACACTCACTAGCGCATGCGCACACCTTCCAGTGCATGAGCAGCTCCTTGCCACGCCTACCAGTGCACATACACACACTTCCCATTTCTACCGGTGCACGTGCACAGACACGCCCGGCATCGACCAGCGCAGGCGCACAGGACTGCCCACGCCTTCCGGCACAGGCGCACAAGTCCCACATCGGCCGGCGCATGCGCAGACACTGCCGCCTTCTCTACCAGCGCATGCGCACACTTTCTACATCAACTGCACGTGCACAGACACCGGTTCCACATCCAGTAGCACATGCGCACTTTCCACACATCGGCTGGCGCATGCGCACCGGCTTGCCCACGCTGAAGCTTCAGCTCCCCTCCTGGCTGCGCAGGCGCACCCTCAGCCCGCGCATGCGCAGGTCCCGCGTCTCCCTCAGCCCGCGCATGCGCACTCCCCCGCGGCGCGGCGCTGCGCGAGCCTCGCCTGGTCGACACTTGGAGCAGCCGTGGCACTCCCGCTGGTGGTTCTCGAAGGCCGTGAAGCTGCCCTTCTCACACACCCGGCATTCGGTTTCTATCCCCGGCCGCGGGCAGTCCCTGAACAAGTAGGTTCCTGCAAACAGAGGCCGGTGAGGCCGCTGGGGGCCC